AATTTTGTTTTCCGCTTCATAAAAAATTGAATCCAGCAGGCATGAGTTCTGTCAGTTTCTTTCCTATACACCTACAGAATTATCCAAAGCTGTATTCTTCCCACCTTTTTCTCCTTAGTCTCCAAGAAAAAAATTGCTCAGTCATATTTTCAATGATAATACTTTAGTTCATGCTTATGACTCCATCTGCTGAAACTCTACTTTAGAAAAGTATTCTCTTTCTCCTTAATGTTCTGTGGTTTTATTTTCCATAGTCTATAAACAAATTCACACTGTCACCCATTTCTTTAAAACTTGCTCAGCCTTACATTTCCCCTATAACTCTAATCCTCTCTACTTTCTAATCGAGTTCTTATAAAATACCCTATACTTAGCCTTCACTTTTTCGCATTCCATTCAGGCTTCATCCCACTTCTATCATGCCATTGAAACTAAACTGAAAAAGGCTTTTATTTCCTTTTTTTCAATTGGATACTTTTCACTTTGATCTTATTTGAGTACTTAACCCTCTGGTCACTCTCTTCTTGAAATTCTTGCCTCTGGATTCTGTGACAGCACCTATTCTTAGTCCATCTTTAACTTCTCTATTTTCTCACATTCTTTGGCCAATTTCATTACCTGAATATTTGTTTTCACTTGGACGCTATCCCTTTCCCGCCTCTCTTCTTTTTCATGTCTCTCACTAAACATTTCTATTGCATCCCAGAGCCTCCCAGCCTCATTTCCTGCCATCTTCCACCTTGTACTTCATAATCCCGAGAAGTCATGCTACTGATAGGAGTTGACACACTTCTTGATTGTCCTGTCCCTGTGCCTTCACACATGTTATTTTCTCCATTTGGAAATAACATCTTCCACTCTGTGAATCCTGGCTCTTCTCCATCCCTATCCTTGTTGAAATGGTTGTTTCCTTTTTATCTTCATAATACTTTAGTCAGGCATCATGAGGAATCCTGTACAGACTGTTTCTCTCCTTTCCTATCCAAACTACATTCTGATTAACCTGCATTTATTCTTTTATCATAACATTTTACCAGTAATTTATTGGAGCTACCCATGTAAAGATTTGCTTTCTTACTTTACTTATGAGCAGGGATCATGTCCTATTCTTTGAATATCAATGTCTAGAATAATACCTGGTATATAGAATTACTGCACAAATGCTTACTGTCAGCTAAAATCAATATAATAAACCTAGTATTGTCTTTTTAACACAAATTCAATATAATAAATCTAGAATTGTCTTGTCAAAAAATAAAAATTCTTCTTGTCTCCTGTTGGTGGACTTAACAAGAACAACATCTTTTATTTATACTCACAACAAAAGAGCATCTTTTTTGGTGGCTTTTTCTTTCTCCTACGATGGAAGAATGTGAAACATCTCTGCTGAATTCCCTTGGTTTTTCCCTTGAAAAAAATTTTAAAGCGAAGTATATTTGATGGGGCAACCTCACAGCCTGAATAGTAGGATGATGATTTTTCTGGAGAGAATTTGTTGAGCCGATGAGAATTATAGTCTCATGTCGACAAATATAAAAATTAATTCCAAAAATAAAATCTATAGTGATACTATTCAGTTGATGATGAGGAATTTGTTCTGTGTTCACTCCTTTCTATCACTTTGCAAAAAAAAAAAAAATTATCTAGTCATTAGGCATAATTCAAACCCACAAAAAAAATTTTAAAAACCACCAAAATTAGCCTTAAAGTTGCAATACTTTTGGAATCAGTGTAAGACATTGGAAAGATCTGGGACATATGAATTAGACCTGGTGTTGCATCCTAGCCCTGAAAGTTATGAGCAGTATCAAATTGATCAAATTACCCCCTATATGCTTTGCTTTTGTCATCTGATGATAACACCTGCTTCATGGAGTTATAATGAAAATTAAATATATGCATAAATTACTTCTAAGTTCCTAGTGCACAGTTAGTGTTCATTAAGTATTACTTGCCTGTCAAAATACATCACAATATTCATTAAAAATGAAAAATGGAAATAAACCAATTGGGAAAATTTGTAAATAACTTACGGTTCATCCACTTGGTAGTAAACCATGTATTCCATTTTATTACATACATATTATATAGCTACATAGAAAATATAAAAATAATGTTAACTGGAAAAAAGAATTTCCATCTAAAATATAAGTGTTTTTTCAAGTTTATATAAACATAATATATAATAACTTGTAACTATCATTTCCTACGTTTGCGCAGTATCTTCAGTTTACTTTCTTAAATATGTTACTGAAATGGCAGATGAAACACACCAGAAATAGTTTCCCAGTTTAACTGGAGTAAAAACTTGAGAAAATTTAATGATCCAATTAAGACAAATAGTCCATTAATCTATCATTTGAAATATGTAACTCTCTAGTAACACAAAGCCTAGTGGAGACTGAACTGAGAACAAAGAAACCAGGCCCAGATTTGTCATTCTTTTACCTCAAAACCTTACATAAGGGTTTATTTGTCCGCTTCAGTTTATTCATATTTAAAATGGAGAAATCCTAATCCAATCTCTAGCCCTTTCCTAGTTCATGAAGCCCTTGGGAAGTTATTGTTGGGCAATATGTAAAGCAGTTGGAGCCTATTTTAGTGAGCTACATAATTTTTTAAAGGATATTGTTTATTTGGACAGTAAGGAATAGCCTCCAGGCAAATCCTGCAAGGTGCTTCAACAGACATACACAGCTACCTTCCTGTTGGCACAGTCTGGGTTTGGCAGGTGTATTCCATTCCTTACAGGAAGGAATAGGTGCTTCATTGTGTTTCAGAAGTCAGTAAGCTTTTACAAAACTAAGTAATTGACATTTTTCTCATTTCTGAGATCAAATTTTCATAAATCATTCAACTTGGATAAACTGAGAATGTGGTTGATCTAGTAATTGTTGAAATATAGAAGAGACATTGCAAAACATGATATTTAAGTATTTCCTCCTAACCTCTTACCTTAGCAAGATATGAGTGCTAAATAGAAGGCTGTCTTAATGTCTAGAATGGAAACAAAAGTACGATGAGGAGAAATCAAAAGAAAGCACAGCACAGATTCATCTCTGTAATTTCAGATTTCATTGATTCTGAACTTGTAGTGATAATTAATAAGTGGAGTAGAGCTTACTTTTATAAGATAGTTTTTTAATGATATGGTGTAGGAGGATGTATTTAACAAGCTTGCAGATAATATTTTCTGACTTTCACAATATGTACATTGAAATGTTATTGGTTTATTAATATTTTTTCTGGGAGTCATTTGTTAGCAGTTAACTTTCTTTCATATTTTAAAAATACATTTAAAATTTTGTACTGATCTTTGTCTTCCCCTTCTTCCAGTGTTCAAGTTGGTGAAACTTTGCCTTAAAATATTCCTGTAATCCTATGAATCATAAATTCAGAGTGAATAGAGAATGTTCGTTTTTTTTATTTTTTTATTTTTTACATCATTGTTCATCTTTAAACAATATTTGCTTCCCCTCACCCCCTCAGGTGTAGTCCCCATAGAGTTTCCTTCCCCAATGCACCCATGAACCATCACCTCAGTCCCCTGTTAGAGAGTGCTAGTTTTTATCACTGGGAAAAGTCCAACTACGACAGATTAATCTATGTATGAATATAGTGAATTTTCCTGTGACTCTTCTAGTTCAGGTATTTGTACAAGTGTAAAACTGTTTTGGTGGATGTACTACACTTAACCTATAATTTATGTTTGAGAAATTTGTAGGAGTAAACTGAGGCAAGATTTGCCTTTTTACTCACAGCTCATTACTACAGTTCTCAAAGCAAAGATATCTGATGCACTGAGTTATTTTGTTTCATATCACTTTTTAACAGAGCTCTTGATACATGCAGAATCTTGCTATAAACTTGAGCTGGTTTTTAGTTTGGTGTGCAATGAATAAGTCCATCTAACCAGTGTATGGCACTCAGAATACCCTCATTCGTGCGGTGTCTACCTCTGAGCTGTGTTTATTTTCAAAGGCCCCTCATGCATGGATCCATATAAATGAGGCAAGCTACAGCAGATGAGGCTGTGTTGCTCACCAGTACTGAAGGAGGGAAGATTGTGTATATGAAAACTGCTGGGCATGATTTTCACTTTTAAGGAAGATTTCTGTAACATCAAGCAAGATTTTTGGTTGAGGTTTAATGGTTTTAGTAAAGAAAATAAAAAGAAAAAACAATCAGTGGTCTGATTCTATCACATTTTGTCAAACAAATTTCTCACTGATCCATGTGAATATGTCTCCCTCCCAGAGAGGAGGCTAAGAACACTGCAGAATGGACTTCTGAACTTTTGACTCTGTTTTCAGTGTGCTTGGTGAGTTTTTAATCAACCAAAAGATCAGTTCTGTGACTAAAAGCATAGTCATTCCTAGCCTATTTGTACTACTCAGAAATAGAAACATGGTTTTTAATGTACAGAAAGTCTGCTGTTATTTGTACACATTTAAATTATTTTCGTGCCTCCGAAACATGAAGTTTTTCCTATCTCACCACTTATTTCCAGGCTTTATTCTCATGGTGTGACGATATAAAAAAAAGAAAGAAATTTAATGACTAAGAATTGTACAATATACCAATGTGTCACTTATTTAGCAAAGTAACAGGTGTAAGATTGCTCCTATTTCTGTATTGAAATATGTATTTCTTAGGTGAAAATCAGTTTGAAACCAGTCTAGATTTAATATGCCATCCTGACATTGCATAGTAACTGATTCATTGATAACCTTAATGCAAGTAGGTAAATGAGTATCTTATATTTTCATGCAGCACCTAATGCTGACATAATCTGAATATCTGGGATAAAGTTTGTGTTGTTGCTTTTTTTAACCTCAAATCCTTGGCACTCTGCACCCGTGCACTTGCTTACAGTAATGCTTTGTTTAACCTGACTACCAGGACTGTTTGGTCACATGCAAATACTGTCCTTTTTCAGCCTAAACATTCTGACAGTAATTACACTTTTTATATTCTCTCCTTCCCTGCCCCCAACTCAGGCTGGAAAGGCTGGTGGACGTCCTGAGGAAGAAGGTTGGAACAGGGACCATGAGGACAGTGATCTGACTGAAAAACGACAGTCTGGGGAAGCGATCACATCTGGTGACCAGGCTGCTTCATTCAACACTGTGTAAACACTAAAGCCTTAACTTAGCAAACAGTTGTTAGAAGTGGGACACTCCAACCACATTCCAAGCTGAGATAAAATCAAATCACAAATGTTTAACCACTTTGCTGCTGACTTGAGTTACTTATCCACATGTATTAGACATAGACTTTTTACCAGTTGGGTAGCTCTAAAGTTGTAACTAATTTGGTAACTATTTTATATCTCAATGTATGTAATATAAATCTTTTTACTAATAGACTGTTTTAGATATAGTAAAATTGATTAGGATCATATCTTCACATATGGCCCTTTCTGAATAAAAAATGCAGCAAAGTAAATATTGTCTAAGCCTTAATCCACTGTGTTAGGTCAAAATTTCGGATACATGCATTTTTCCATATAGAGTTTATTTCTTAACTGTGATGAGAGAGGCTCAGACTTAACAATATGTAGTTTTCCTTCAATGCATGTGTGTAACCTTTGTTATTATTAAAGTATATGAGGTGTCGATGCCAGGAATTAAATATAATTTGCTTTAATGAGAGTTTGGTACATTGTACTAATCATGACATGATTTTTGTTTCATTGCAAATAATACAGACTCTTCAATAAAAAGTAGATATTGTGTACTTATGTGTACTTATTAATTCATGTTGTCAGTATTTTTTTTATGTTGGATCTGAATAATTATCTAAACTTTAAGTTGTAGAAATTGCTAGTTAGCATGTGCCAGCATGTCTGAATCCTAAAAGAGAAGATTCGGTCATCAAACAAGCTAAGTATTCTTTTTTATTATCTTTATTTATATTGCCCTTTCAATTTTTGTCGTGGGGAATCTAATATATAATATAAAATAAAATGATAGTGTAAAAATATAAAGACTTAGAAAAAGTAAATGCAATGTATGCAATTTAACACACCAATTTATTTGGTGTTTCTTTTATGTAAGAGATAACTTAGAATAGTTAGAGCATAGCAGTCACTAATATGAAATTATGAATAAAACTAACATTTATTAGCTATAGGAAAACATCTTTATTTTTTTAAATTGAATAGATGAGAGACCAGTAGAAAATGCTATTCTTGGAACAGGACAAATAGACATGGAGAGACTGAGTGAAAAGTTTGTAAGTGAGTGAAAATTTTTCAAAGTCTATCATTTTTCTAATTCACCTTTAAAACTAAGCTCCATTACCTGCCATTGCCTACTTTCAGGACAAGTATAGATAATTGATCATGCTTTCTTTCCCTACACTACTGGAAATCATTCATTTGAAGTTTTTCATTCCACAAGAAAGTGTGAGGTGCTTCTCATAGGTGACAAAAATCATGTTAACAATGTCTATTTCTGCCTTATTACATCCAATAAATTAACTGGCAGTTGGAATGATCACATTGAGAACAAATTTATAATTTACTCATGTTGCCTGCTTTTAATGATTTTTTTTTTGTAGAACAATGAACACTAAACAGAACAACAAGGGTTAAAAGTAAACTAAACTGGACGTTCTCCATAGTGCTGAAGAGAGTAGAAACTTCATGTTGACTAGGAATTATATAAATACAGAAATCTGGAATAATTAATCAAGCAGTCTTCTCTGGGCTCTAATTGAAACTTCCTGTATGGAAGAACAGCACCTTTGAACCCATGCAGGTAAGTGCAGAGAAATAGTTCTTGTTACAATATAGTCCATTCATGAATTCTCTTCAAAAAATCACAAGCAAACTCAAATTTCTAGTCTAGAAGAAAAGACAAGCTTTTCTTAGGTTCGTTTGGTTGGGTTTTTATGAAACACAATGTGTAGCATAAATTTTGACATTTTTCAATTTCCAGACATCTCTTTCTATACCTAAATAGAGCAACCAAGTCCTGTAATCAATATGCAGGACATTTATAGAATTTGAGATTATAATAATAAATTTATAAAACAACTCTATCACTTACTATTGCTCCATATAGGTAATCTCCCCAAAATATCACATCCCCTTGAAATGAGTTGTCTACAAAATTACAAATGTTAATTATACAGTCAAATATGATCATTAATTGACTTTTGCATTTAAAAGGTATAACCTGGGCCTCCCTGGTAGCGCAGCGGTTGAGCGCTGGGTTGCGAAGCTGCCCCCGGCCTCTGTGGCGCTGGTTCGATCCCCGGCTGCTCCCCGGCCACTGGGGGGGGGTCCCACATGGCGCGCAGACCTCTCCTGCCGCCCACTGCTCCCCTCAGCAGTGTACTTCGGTCCTTCTGCCTGCTCTGCTCCCTGCTCTGGCTCTGGTGAATTCTCTCACCCTCCAGCGCTTCTGACTGTACCCAGTGCATGTATAAAAAAAAAAAAACGAACAAATAAATAAATAATACATGCCTCTTTTAAAAAAATAAATAAATAACATAAAAGGTATAACCTTACTCACTGAAAATCAGTTCTACATATATATATTTTTTTTATTAATTCGACTTCTTTTTTTCTTTTTTTTAAAGATTTTATTTATTTATACAAGCACTGGGTACAGTCAGAAGTGCAGGAGGGTGAGAGAATTCACCAGAGCCAGAGCAGGGAGCAGAACAGGCAGAAGGACCGAAGTACACCGCTGAGGGGAGCAGCGGGTGGCAGGAGAGGTCTGCGCGCCATGTGGGACCCTCCTCCGGTGGCCGGGGAGCAGCCGGGGATCCAACCGGCGCTGCAGAGGCCGCGGGCAGCTTCGCAACCCAGCGCTCAACCGCTGTGTCACCGGGGAGGCCCTACATATATTTAATAACAATACAACTTTGAAAGTATTCCGCACTGCCCAGAGACGTTGCTTTGAGTTTGTTTTAAACATCAAGTCGAATTCCTACAGTTACATGAGAATTCACTTCTCCTTATAAAAGTAAGTAGTTTAGAGGAAAGGCAGAAAAATATAATACAATCATGTAGCACCTGATGATTTAGAAAGTCCTTTCACATCTGTGTTTTTTTTTTTTGATCCAATGAACAACCATATAATAATAATAGTAAATTATGTTAACCCAAATTTTTCACAAGACATTATTATGATGTTGATAACTATTATTTACTACTACGTCTCCATCTCATCATATCTGTATGCATGAAATATCTGTGTGTATAAGTATATGAACACAAATTTGTCTTTTTAAAAAATTGATTTACACATGAACTGTTAGGCTACCGTGATTTCAGCATTTTGTTCATGTTTTATTAGAAGTGCACGTGGTTTCTGAGGCTTTTAAACAAATACATGGAATGGTTGAAAGATTTATATTGCTCATGCTTAGCTAAATATGTCATCTCTAGAAAAGATGTGGTTTATTTTGGCACTGTTTTAAAAACTCAAATATTTTAAACATTTGTGAAGTTGGAGCTTGCACATTTGAACTAGTAGCATATGCTCCAGAATAGCATCTCAAGTTACCAAACTTTTTGTAATCCTTTTACTAGAATAATCTTTTTTAAAAAGTTTTTTTTTTCTTTTCATTATGTACTTTAAGTTAAATTTATAAAGATTGAAGTTATTATTTGTTAATATAGGATATAGTAAATAGAATTGGACTATGATAAATGTATATTTTTCTGAGTTTTCTGAGAAGCATTAAAATATTACATATATTGATGCTATTTTGCAGAAATCTTTATATTCTTATTTATAATTTTATTGTTTTCTAAACATAGTTTTGGAATACACTGGTACTTTGGAAGCCACCGGTTTCTCGACTTTTTGGTTGTTAACAAAGATACATTTTTATACACAAACTAAAATACCTAAAGTACGTATTTACTTTTTAGTCACATAAAATCCCACACATTCCTACATTGCTACAAGTCCTACACATTCCAATGCAGTTCTTACATATTGATCTTAATCAAATGTTTAAGTGTACAATCCCAATGATAAAATATATTGCAGTAAGGAAACAGACTAAGTCATCCTCAAACTGTTTCTGACTTCCTTAACAAGTATAATAAAGGTAAAAGTAAATATGGGCAGGTTTAAGTACTTTAGGACCCTTTCAAAGCAATCCAGATATAAAATAAATTGATAACATCAGAATATTAAAGAGAAACATTATTTTTGGTAAATAAGGTTAGAAAGAACATCAGATTCTCTTAATTAAAAATAATAAAAAACTGAGTCAACTCTACTACAAAGCACCTCTGCTAATTTTGGAGTGTGCTTATGGAATTTTGCTGGTAGCCAGTAGTTGAAATCTAAAAACACCCCATCTGTTGTGTTGATTATTCAATCATGAAAAATATAAATAGACTCTGTAACACTCTAGTACATGTAGTGAACTTAGAATTTAAAGCTTCCAATACTTGACTATAACCAGACCAGGGTGGGGTGGACAGTGGGAGTCTTAGGGCAAAGATCCTATAAACTGGTAATATCTAAACTGTGAAAACACTGTGTAAAGAAAAAAAAGTTTTCTATGCTTTGTCATACATTTTACTTCCATATATATACTACATAATATTATTTTTTGCATTACACAGTTAAGTCATATTTTACTTCCATATATATATACATAAAACTATTATTTTTTTGCTTTACACAGTTAACTGTTTTTGAGAAAATTTCTAAAATAAGAACAATATTTTGTATTTGCCATTCCAGTGTAGATTTATTTACCATTTTCTTTGTGTAGATCCATTTCCAACTCTTAACATTTTCTGTCTTCCTGAAGTGCTTATTTATAATAATGCAGGACTCTGAATGATGAATTTTTTCAGCTTTTGTATGCCGAAAACTATCCAGGGGGGTGTGTGTGTGTGTGTGTGTGTGTGTGTGTGTAGTGTTTTGCTTTGTATAGAATTTTAAGTTAATTTTTTTGTTTGTTTGGGGTTTGTTTTTTTTTTTTTTAATATTTTCAGAGTGGTGTTCTGTTGTCTCTCTCTTTTCTCCAGTTGTCAGTCCCATTTTTGTTCTCTGTACATAATATGCTCTCTGGCTGCTATAAAGATATTCCCTTTGTCACTAGTTTTACCAATTTGATTGTGATATGGTATTTATTTTTACATGTTTTTGCACTTATATTAAGTTGATCTTCTTGGGTTGTGGGTTTATAGTCTTTAACAATCTTCTTAAAATTCCAGCCATTATTTTTATCAATATTTTTGTTCCACAATTCTTTTTCCTCTCCCTCTAGAACTAGTACTTTACATATGTGTTAGGCCACTCAGCGTTATCTGACAACTCATTCATGCTTCATTCTTTTATTTTCCTACTTTCTTCCTTTCTCTGTGTTTCATTTTGGATAGTTTCTGTTGCTTTTGTCTTCAAGTTCATTAATCTTATCTTTCATAGTGTCTGATGTGCTTTTATTCCTATTGTTTCTTTTCACAGCCACATTTTTCATTTCTAAAATTTAAAAACTGAGGTTTTAATTTCTTTCATATCTTTTCACTTTTTCATGATTTCTATTTTCTGAAATATAAAAAACAGAGTAATAACTGTTTTAATGTCCTTGTCTGTTAATTCTATTACCTGTTCTTTCCAGGTCTGTTTCTATTGATTTTTTTTCTTTATAAAATGTATTTTCCTGCTTTACATGCCAGGGAACATTTTTTGGATGCCAGTCATTGTGAATTTTATCTTATTTGGTATTGGATGTTTTTATTTTTCATTAAATTTATTTTATCTT